CTGGGCAAAGTCAGAGCGGTTTTGGCTCTCCCCGTCCGGGGCCTTGTACAAGAAATCTTTCACCGGCCCGTATTTGAAATGTGTCCACCCCACCAAGGTGGAGGCTTTCCTCTATGAGATACATGAGGGCATTTGTGGCAGCCATACTGGGGGCAGATCCTTGGCTTACCGAGCAATTTCTCACGGTTATTGGTATGTTTCAAGGGCTTATAGCCACCATGTTTATGTTGCAAGATTGAACTTAAGGCCGTTATGTACGTAGCACAGAATCAGACTATGTGAAATCTACATCTTTATATGCATTGCTATGTGTTATGTTTCAATTTAAGCATCGTTTTATTTATGTATTACTATTCACTGAGCTTGGCTCACTCTGTTTAATATATGTTTCTGTAGGTAACCAACCAAGTGGTCAGTCCTAGTCATGACACCCGTTTTCTTTTGTCAACCTTCGTGGGTTCAGGCACTGCACGAAGCCATTTATTTTTGTAAAGTCTATTGAAATGTTGGCTTAATTTTGATTACCCATTTAAAATTAAAGAGGTAGAACTTCAATGATTTTTATATAAGCCCAATGATGGGGCTAGGTCTGTACATATGGTTTTTTATCACCGATGCTACAACATTTGGTTTGGAGCTTTATCTATTTTCCATGATGAATGTGATGTATAAGAAGTCCTGGCATGTAGATGTAGCTCAATGAAATTTATATGTATAGTTATTTTCCTACTTTATGCTTCCGATGAGGCCCCATATGTTATTTACTACAGGTTAAGTGTTCGTTTTCAAACGGGTCATGCCCAAACTTTTAGGGGCGGGTTTGGGGTGTGACAAGTGGTATCAGAGCACGAGTTGCTATCTCACACACGAATCCATTGAGCTTTAGGATGTCCAAAAAAGACTTAGGCATCATGTATGACATCCTTAGTGCACATGAAAGGAATTGATAACAACGATAATGGTACATGTAATGACGCTAACCGCAATGGTTATTCTTCATGTCTGTTATACATTTTTTGTATATATTGTGATTGACTACTATGCAGAACATGGTAAGACCTGCTGATGGGATTCAACCAATAAAGTTGCGCAGCGGAAGCGTGGTAAGAATTCACGTTGAACGGTAAGACAAGTTATATGCCTATGATTAAGTGAAATGTGTGTTATTAATTGTGACTGTAGAATTGATAAATATCTGCGAAGCATCTGTTTAGATGACTTACTTACATGATTTAGTGTGCACATAAGATAATATGTGCGATGTGCACTTTCTGTAACATAGGCACATCCTTCTTATTATAACAATGTTTAAACCTGCGAGTTCGAGAGGTTATTGTGAGTTGATAGTTGCTAAAATAAGTTTCACATGATACTTTGTAATATGTTGAAAAGGACTGGCTGTGATAAAAAGTTATATATATAGTGATTCTGTTTTGTTCATGCGTAATCTGTAATCTGTAATCAGGATTTCTTACAAGGAATGGTCGAATAATATGAAGAACCCCACCTATATGATGAGTCTGCCCATATGATATTGGTAAAAAATTGGAATTTTGTTTCTGCATTTTAATGCAAACTGTTAAACTAATCCCTATTCTGTATTTAAAAAGGGGTTAAGTAAAGTTTATGACTAACTAGTCAACTTGAACTTATGACGACATGACCAAGTGTCTAGTATGTTACGAGAAGTTACGAAACTGTATGTTCTTTGTTTTGATACTATAAGGATGATTTGTGATCACATGTTTTTAAATAGTAAGTATTTTTTGAAATGATCAAAATGTTATGAACTTCCGACATGTTTATGACATGATAAGCTTTCTGGATAATTTTCCAAAATGACTAGATACGCTACGAAGCTCCGAATGTTCAAGAAATGACAAGATTTCTGAAAAAAATATTCTGCTACGTGTAAATGAGTTCTTTAATTGATAATTTATTGTTGCATACTTGATGAAAGCTTTATGTTGAGCCTCAAGTTATTCTGCCTATCTGTTATAAGTTAAATCGGAGATTGTTCTGTCAAAGTTTAAATAAGTTTAAGGCTATTGAGAATTATTCCATCATCTGATATCTTTGAAAGGCCTGATAAGTTTCTGAGTAATATCTCTGAACAACGTATTGTATGTACGTATGAAGGGTTTGAAGAACTTTATGTATTACATATTTTTGGAAAATGTTTTTGTCCATGTTAGAAACATTTTACTACCTATGGAACAAGAATATAAGAATTTCATGGTAAATGTATTATGTGTTTGCTGTCATGATGTTGACTTTGAGATCTCCTAAGCCAACATGGATTTTAAATGATTACTACTTTACTGTAATGTGGGAAGTATGACCATTAAGGTTTGATCTGTATTTGATTTTACGAATCCTCTACTCTGAACATGTAATTTCTTGATATGAAATTTAGGTTGGCACTTGGAGTTTGTTAGAGATTTGATTTGAACTGATAAGTCTAATTCATATAATGAACAAAGAGCCATGAAGTCGTTGAGTTAGAAATTAATTACTACGATGGGTCTAATTATTGTACGAGGTATATACCTTTGAAACGTGATTATGTCGTGACGGTTTCCTTAGCCTTTGAGGAATTATGATAATGGGGGTTATTTGTGAGTTTGATTTATGTTTGATAGTTTATGAGCTGCATGCGAACGAATACTTGAAATGAATTCATTTCTGAATACCCTTAAGTTGTCATATTATGTGAAAGATATGATTTGTGGAGTAATAAATTAAAATGTACAGGTGACGTCCAAGTCTTGAGGACGGTCAAAAATTGGGTGTCTACAACTACTATCGAGTGGGTTACCAATTAGTCAGTAAAGACGCATTACTTGTGATTTTGGGAGCAACCTCCATTGAAATTGATTGTATAAAATTGGGAATGGCTAAATGATTGAGAAATGTTATATGTCCAAGACGGAACTAGACTTGTGACAAGAAGAATCAAGTTTGGAGGACCAAACTTCTTAAGGTGGGAAGGATGTAATGACCCCAAAATGCGTATAAGAAAACATCTTTATTTCCCTATGAAATGATGTGGTTTAATTTAATTATATCTATTAGAATTGAAGCATTATCAGTTGAGTTACGGACTTAAAATGGGAATTACCGACCTTTATGGGTTCAAAAAATCAAAATTGAGTACTTGGATATGTTAATGGGAATTTTTGGAATTATTTGGGAAAATTAATTTGAAATCTAATTTGTCTGATTCGTTAATGGACGTTTGGGTGATTAACTTTATACTGCAAATTAAAGGCCTTAAAGACTTCAGATACCGGAACAGGGGACATATTTATGATCAGCATAATTTTTAGAGTTATCTGGGAAGTTTAATTGAAATGTGATTTTGTGCGATTCGTAAGGGCGTGTTTGGCCCTTCCTATTTGTGGGAAGCTTTTATATATGCATATATGCCTTATGAGTTGTTGAACTCATCTATTTTGAACCAAACAAAAAAATAAAAATATCTAGAGAAAGGGGAAGGAGAACCGTGAGAGAGAGAGAGTCATGAATTGAAGCAATTGTAATAATGTGTATGTCTTCCAACCCCACGTCTTTCTCCCTTTTATTTACCTGGTTATGATGGTTAGTTTAGGGGCATATTTCATTTTAGCATCCTTATGCTATGCATGTTTGCATCTATTCATCTGTATTGCATGCACCGGGCTCGGCGTGGCTCTAATTACTAACCTTGTATAGAATCCATCTACTACTTGAAATCATGGATTGATATAGAAGATGTGAGCTTTGAACCCATGAACCTTGATTTTCTAAGAATTCCTTGATTGAAGAAGTAAAATCATTAAATTTGTTTATTGTGAGATTATGGTGTTTGATGAAGAATAATAATGTGAAATTGGTTATGTATTAAAGGGTTTTGGGCTTTGATTTACATGTAATTAAGGTTTGATTTTTGAAAATGAGAAGTCCCACAATTTCAGCCATTTTCGGACTGCTGCTGTCCAGGGCCGCACGTGCGGAGACAGCTCTGTCCAGCCAACTTTGAATAGGTATATCTTTTGCTTCCGGACTCCGTTTTGAGTGATTCTTGAGCCTAAAATCAAGCCCCGGAAGTCTAGTTTCGAATGGCTCTAGTCTCACTCCCAAATCCTAAATACAGAAAAAGTTATACCCAAATTAGTGACGACTGTTCACGTTATGTCAATTAGTTATGTACCATTTCTTCGCCTAAACCATTTCCTATCGATTTCTCCTGTTTTCTAAGACATGGATTACAACATATTAAAGAATAATGAGCTTGGTACCACCATGACTAATTGATTGAACGATCAAAGAGAATAAGTAAAGGATCGAGTATAACCTCATATTATGTGCTGTGCACTGTAATTGTAGGTCGAGACGAGGACATTGTACCATTACCACCGGGAAGCGATCACTGTGAGTAGTAGTACTTTGATGTACCTTTAATCATTTATCGTTATTGATGTTAAATCTTCGTCGTAAGAATTATGTTGACATAAATGTTATGAATGCTATGTGAGAAACACTGTGATATTATGGAAACTTCAAAATAGTTTATGAAGTTATGTATGTTATGTGAGAAACATTATGGAATTATGAAAACATCAAAGGAACTTGTGATTGTGTGAACCCCTCAGGCCAAGGGCCCAACTGTGAAATTGTGAAACCAATAAATTCATCTATAATCTAATGAGAATGTACTTACTTTTTGTTACAAATTATCAGGAATGTCCTGTTAACTTTACGTTAATTATGTCAACTCATGGGAATGATGTAACAGTTACCATTAGGATTATGTTAATTACAATATAAGAATGATTAAACAAAGGTGTATGCTATTGATAAGAGAGCACGTAAAGTAAGTCATTTACCCAAAAGAATTTATGTTCATTCTTAAAGAATGGATTCTGAATAATTATAACATGGGAATGATGTAACAGTTACCATTAGGACTATGTTAATTACAAGGCAAGGCAACTATGTTAACATATAAGAATGATTAAACAAAGTTGTATGCTATTGATAAGAGAGCACGTAAAGTAAGTCATTTACCCAAAAGAATTTATGTTCATTCTTGAAGAATGGATTCTGAGTAATTATAAGAGTAGCTACATGTATCTAGATGAATTGAAGTTAATTTGTTATCTTGCTTATGAATTGGAAGTGATCCAGAATCTACGATATAAGTGCAAAGTTTAGCATCATTATGTGACCCTCATGAGAATGTGAATTAGTCTCTCATTGTTAAGCGTACGATAATGACACGATACAACAAGAAATGCTCTAGTTATGATATGTTCCGTTTGAATTAATGAATGATGTTCAAGTATGTTTCAGGCATGTTTCCAGTATGTTACAAGTTCAAGTATGTTCAGGTATGTTTCAAGTATATGTTACAAGTTTAAGTCTGTCACAAGTTTACGTATGTTACCAGTTTATGTATGTACATGTTCAAGTATGCTACAAGTTCACAATGTTGGGGGATTCCTTTATGAAACGAACAAAAAAAATAATACTTATTATTGATTTGCTAGCACTATTACAGTGCCAAGTATAAGCAAGTATGAATTCTGATTTCTATTTATGATTCAAGCATAATGCATAGTTATGAATTTATTTCCGGGGTATGACATTACATGTATGGTTTGGTCTGTAAGACCTAATGATTATTGGTATGGAACAAAGTGCTACTTGGAACTAAGTGCTACATTGTGAGCCACCGCTAGAGTCCATGTGAGACACCCCTTGAGTCCATACATATGTGAAAGTTATGAGGCTTATAGCCATCCGTATAAGTTGTTATGAAATGAAACAAAGTGCTACACGGAACTAAGTGCTACATTGTGAGTTACCTCTAGAGTCCGTGTGAGACACCTCTTGGGTTCATATATGCATGTCCAAGGGCTTCATGCCAACTTTTCAAGGGCTTTATCATGCCAACTTTTCAGGCCTTAGTGCCATATGTTACAAGGGCTTTATGCCATATGTTTCAATATGTTTCAAGGGCCTTATGCCATATGTTTCAAGGGCCTTAGTGCCATATGTTACAAGGGCTTTATGCCATATGTTTCAAGGGCCTTAGTGCCATATGTTACAAGGGCTTTATGCCACATGCTTCAAGGGCTTTAGTGCCACAAGTTTCAAGGGCTTATAGAAACCATGTTTCAAGGGCCTCGTGCCACCATGTTTATGTTGCAAGATTGAACTTAAGGCCGTTATGTATGTAACACAGAATCAGACTAACTATGTGAACTCTACATCTTTATATGCATTGTTGTGTGTTATGTTTCAATTTAAGCATTGTTTTATTTATGTATTACTATTCCCTGAGCTTGGCTCACTCTGTCTAATGTATATTTCTGTAGGTAACCAACCAAGTGGTCAGTCCTAGTCATGACATCCATTTTCTTTTGTCAACCTTCGTGGGTTCAGGCACTGCACGAAGCCATTTATTTTTGTAAAGTCTATTGAAATGTTGGCTTAATTTTGATTACCCATTTAAAATTAAAGAGGTAGAACTTGAATGATTTTTATATAAGCCCAATGATGGGGCTGGGTCTGTACATATGGTTGTTTATCACCGATGCTACAACATATGGTTTGGAGCTTTATCTATTTTCCATGATGAATGTGATGTATAAGAGGTCCTGGCATGTAGATGTAGCTCAATGGAATTTATATGTATAGTTATTTTCCTACTTTATGCTTCCGATGAGGCCCCATATGTTATTTACTACAGGTTAAGTGTTCGTTTTCAAACGGGTCATTCCCAAACTTTTAGGGGCGGGTTTGGGGCGTGACAGTTGGTGAGGCGGAGCAATTGATTGTTGTGGAGATGGTTGTCGTTGTGGTATTGTAGTGGTGGTGGCCTTCTTTGCCTTCCCCTGTCTCTTCCCAGGAAAGGTGTTTTGACGGCAGAGGTGACCAATCGGGTAGGCAGTAGTTCTTTCATTTTTCCCCAAGGCAAATTAAATTAATAGTCCTTATATTTTATTTTATTTCTATGTGATTTTGATTCTTGCATTTTCAATTAGTTTAATTTTGACTTTGGATTTTAAATTTTGCATTAATTTAATCTAACTTATAATACTATCAGGGTTTTTGATAGGAAATCACCATTAAGTTGGTTAAGATTAACTCATTGCATTGATTAAGTTTATAATTTTGTTCCGATAAGTATGACATATGTCGCTCATGTGCGCACTTTTTATAAAAATAATAATAATGATAACAATTGTAATTAATTAGACCAAATTGAGACAAAATAAAAAAAAAATAGGTAAAAATTGAATCAATTATAATTACAATGACTAAAAATTATATAAAAACAAAATTATAAAGACTACTAATGTATTTTCCATATCAATATTTTAAGGGCCCACTTGATTGGGCGGATTATAGTATAGGATTGAAATTATTAATTCAAAAAACTCACATTTCATTGTTTGGTTGCAAATTTTATTCGGATTAGATTGCAATGGTCATTTTATCCAACAAAATTGATAATTTTTTTAATCTTATAACTAATAATGCTAAACATACATGTAATTGAGATTATATATTTTTATATTTGTTAAAAAACAAGTGTGGACAAAAGGAAATTATGTATCTCACTAGTCCAGTTAGATAACAAATCCTATGCTAATCTCATGGATTACTAATTCCCTCACTATTAATTCTGTTGATCAAACATACCAAAAAGACAAAATTATCCTTGGTTTTTTTTAGAAATGGTTTTGGTAAAAACATATTTTTTCCCCCTAACTTTGGACTATATTTGAGGTGGGACCCATGCGCTGAGTTTGGTGAGTCCATGTGGCAATGCATTTTTCACCGCATTGCAATTCACGTCGTATATTTGATTGTTCAAAATCATTATCGGGTGAATAGAAAATCGATACCAAAGTGTGCTCCATGAAAATGGTGACTTGGTGGGTTTCCCATAAAGTATTGTGTGTGTTTATAAACCTTGAGCTCGGATCTTGTAGCGGACCCCAAAGGATACCTAAGTTTTGTGCAGTGGGAGGTTATGGACTAGATCTATTGAACTCAAAAACAAACACACATGTGCACTACCACCACCTGCTCTAATTGGACTTGGGTAGCCCAATATTTAACTTTTTAGGCCAGAAGATTTTGAATTTTATTTTTTATTTTTTGAAAATTAAATTCATAATGTTAGGAATTTAAATTTCTATTCAAAATTATTTATGAATTGACCCCATATAGCGATCCCGGTTTCTAACTCGACCTTTATGGTGTTTCGGACTTGGATCTTGTGGTTTAATGTTGTTGTTTATGTCTTTCCCTCTTCTTACCCTTTGAATTTGAATTTTGAAATGTCTTCGGCGTGTTCAGAACAGGGTGGTTGGTTGTTGGTTTAGAACCTTGTTGCCTAGAATTTTGGTCTTCCGCTCGAGCGGACCTTCTTGCACTCGAGCAGGGTTTGCAATCTTTCAGTACTTTGTGCGTCTGCAAAAATACTGCGGAAGTGTTTTTCACGCTTGAGCAGTCTTTATTACGCTCGAGCGGGTCTGAGCTCGAGCGGCCCCTCTGGCGCTCAAGCGACTATCTGAATTCTGTAAAATACTGGACGAGTGTATTCTACGCTCGAGCGAGTAGTGCCTTGTTGTGTCTTGGCGCTCGAGCAACCTTTATTGCGCTCGAGCGGGTCGAATCTTTGTGTCTGACGCTCAAGCGTCAAACTCTCCGCTCGAGCAGGTTGTACGTATATCAGATCGCGAAAGTGACTTTTTAAATCACTTTTTTATCCTTTCTCTCTCTAAAACTTTCCAAAACCCTAAGTTGAGAGCTTCTCTCTCGAAAATACTCTCTCTCTCTCTACATTTTAACCTAGATCTAGTGATCTCCTCACTCTTCTTCCTTTGATAAAATGTTTGAGCTCTTCAAGATCTCCATTTTCATCCGTGTAGAAGTTGATTTCGTCATCTTTGGAGTTTATCTCTTGCTTGGCTCATCTTCTCTTCTTGAGGCAGGGATAATCTACTCTTTAACATGAGTTTTGACCTAAATATTAGTCATTTTGTATAAATGGTGAGATTTGGGAAGTTTAGGTAAAGTTAGGGTTTAAGTTTGAAATTATGAAATAGGGGTTTTCTATTTTTGGGCTCCAATATATGTGTGAGGTCTTGAAAATCGGGTTGTTTGTATATAATGGGTGAAATTCGGCCTTGGGTGCAATTTTTGAGAAAAGGGAAAATTGCCCTAAGTGGGATTAAATAAATTATTTGCATAAATAATGAAATCAATTGTGGAAATATGAAATTGGTTGGTTCTGCTATGATGTAAGGCCGTTTTGTTAATGATATGATGATATATATGTGGGCCCGAAGCCATTGTGCTATACTGGGCCCGAGGTCGTTGTGATATATGATTAGGCCCGAGGCCATTGTGATGTAAGATTGGGCTC